CAGACTAAAGTTAGGGCTTAAAAACACCTACAGACTAAAGTTAGGGCTTAAAAACACCTACAGACTAAAGTTAGGGCTTAAAAACACCTACAGACTAAAGTTAGGGCTTAAAAACACCTACAGACTAAAGATAGGGCTTAAAAACACCTACAGACTAAAGTTAGGGCTTAAAAACACCTACAGACTAAAGTTAGGGCTTAAAAACACCTACAGACTAAAGTTAGGGCTTAAAAACACCTACAGACTAAAGTTAGGGCTTAAAAACACCTACAGACTAAAGTTAGGGCTTAAAAAACCTACAAACTAAAGTTAGGCTAAAACACCTACAGACTAAAGATAGGGCTTAAAAACACCTACAGACTAAAGATAGGGCATAAAAACACCTACAGACTAAAGATAGGGCTTAAAAACACCTACAGACTAAAGATAAAAACACCTACAGACTAAAGTTAGGGCTTAAAAACACCTACAGACTAAAGTTAGGGCTGAAAAACACCTACAGACTAAAGTTAGCCCAACAAAGTGCTTAAAAACACCTACAGACTAAAGTTAGGGCTTAAAAACACCTACAGACTAAAGTTAGGGCTTAAAAACACCTACAGACTAAAGATAGGGCTTAAAAACACCTACAGACTAAAGTTAGGGCTTAAAAACACCTACAGACTAAAGTTAGGGCTTAAAAACACCTACAAACTAAAGATAGGGCTTAAAAACACATACAGACTAAAGTTAGGGCTTAAAAACACCTACAGACTAAAGTTAGGGCTTAAAAACACATACAGACTAAAGATAGGGCATAAAAACACCTACAGACTAAAGTTAGGGCTTAAAAACACCTACAGACTAAAGTTAGGGCTTAAAAACACCTACAGACTAAAGATAGGGCTTAAAAACACCTACAGACTAAAGATAGGGCTTAAAAACACCTACAGACTAAAGTTAGGGCTTAAAAACACCTACAGACTAAAGATAGGGCTTAAAAACACCTACAGACTAAAGTTAGGGCTTAAAAACACCTACAGACTAAAGTTAGGGCTTAAAAACACCTACAGACCAAAGATAGGGCTTAAAAACACCTACAGACTAAAGATAGGGCTTAAAAACACCTACAGACTAAAGTTAGGGCTTAAAAACACCTACAGACTAAAGATAGGGCTTAAAAACACCTACAGACTTTGTGTTTAAAAGGTTCTCAGTTGTTGTCAGTTTGAATAGAAATGTCTTCCAGCTATCTCTGACATGTTTTTCTGGCTTCGTTGTTGACTCGGAGTCTCTGTTTGCTCCATAAAACAAACTCTGTTGAGGTGAGTTAAACATTCTTCTTCTAATCCTGCTTTCTGTGCGCTTCCTGTATCTGAAAGGACCTCCAGGCTACTCATAAGTCTGACTCCTCCTCGCTCCAAAGGTCCTCCTGCCTGAGAGCCAGGAGGTCCCAGGAGAACCGGGAGAGTGCGGCAGACGAGGAGCGACACGGGATGGGAGCGCAGGAAAAGGAGGAGGAGGAGGAGGCGGCTCCTTCGACGGGGAAGAAGCAACAGAAATCCTCCAAAGAGGTTTATTTCTCCGTCCTACCGGACAGATACGAGCCTCTGATCGAGGAAGAGGAGGAAGAGGAGGAGGACAGAGAGGAGACGCCAGAGGAGAGGAGGAAGAGGAAGGAGGAGAAGAAGAGGAAGAGGAAGAAGCGGTACAAGAAGTACAGGAAGGTAAGAAGAAATGACGACCTTTGACCTGAACTTTCAGGATTTAGTCAAAACTGATAACTACCTGTTAATCAATGATTCAGCAGAGAGAGTTTGACCTTTGACCCCGACACACTGTATCAGCCTGATAAACACAAGGAGAAAACAGGAGGTTCAGTTTAGCACCGATACTGCAGTCGAACACTGTGTTTACCCGACTATTACAGAGGATGGCTGCTGTGAAAAAGAGCTACATGCTAACTACATGCTAACTACGTCCTCTCTCACTCGCTCTGCTCCTGTAGTTCATCCGTAATGTAAACACTGAAACATGTTCGTCTCCTCCCTTTGTCAATAAACAACCCTGAACGCATCACAACCCTGAACGCAACACAACCCTGAACGCATCACAACCCTGAACGCAACACAACCCTGAACGCATCACAACCCTGAACGCAACACAACCCTGAACGCAACACAACCCTGAACGCAACACAACCCTGAACGCATCACAACCCTGAACGCATCACAACCCTGAACGCAACACAACCCTGAACGAGCATCACAACCCTGAACGCAACACAACCCTGAAAACGACAACACAACCCTGAACGCATCACAACCCTGAACGCAACACAACCCTGAACGCATCACAACCCTGAACGCATCACAACCCTGAACGCAACACCCCTGAACGCATCACAACCCTGAACGCATCACAACCCTGAACGCAACACAACCCTGAACGCATCACAACCCTGAACGCATCACAACCCTGAACGCAACACAACCCTGAACGCAACACAACCCTGAACGCAACACAACCCTGAACGCAACACAACCCTGAACGCAACACAACCCTGAACGCAACACAACCCTGAACGCATCACAACCCTGAACGCAACACAACCCTGAACGCAACACAACCCTGAACGCATCACAACCCTGAACGCAACACAACCCTGAACGCAACACAACCCTGAACGCATCACAACCCTGAACGCAACACAACCCTGAACGCATCACAACCCTGAACGCAACACAACGGTGAAACTCTTTTTATTCCCCGCTCTCTGTCTGACAGAACCCGTCCTGTGTTTTATTCCCCGCTCTCTGTCTGACAGAACCCGTCCTGTGTTTTATTCCCAACTCTCTGTCTGACAGAACCCAACCCTGTGTTTTATTCCCCGCTCTCTGTCTGACAGAACCCGACCTGTGTTTTATTCCCCGCTCTCTGTCTGACAGAACCCGTCCTGTGTTTTATTCCCCGCTCTCTGTCTGACAGAACCCGTCCTGTGTTTTATTCCCCGCTCTCTGTCTGACAGACCCGTCCTGTGTTTTATTCCCCGCTCTCTGTCTGACAGAACCCGTCCTGTGTTTTATTCCCCGCTCTCTGTCTGACAGAACCCGACCTGTGTTTTATTCCCCGCTCTCTGTCTGACAGAACCCGACCTGTGTTTTATTCCCCGCTCTCTGTCTGACAGAACCCGACCTGTGTTTTATTCCCCGCTCTCTGTCTGACAGAACCCGTCCTGTGTTTTATTCCCCGCTCTCTGTCTGACAGAACCCGACCTGTGTTTTATTCCCCGCTCTCTGTCTGACAGAACCCGTCCTGTGTTTTATTCCCCGCTCTCTGTCTGACAGAACCCGACCTGTGTTTTATTCCCCGCTCTCTGTCTGACAGAACCCGTCCTGTGTTTTATTCCCCGCTCTCTGTCTGACAGAACCCGTCCTGTGTTTTATTCCCCGCTCTCTGTCTGACAGAACCCGTCCTGTGTTTTATTCCCCGCTCTCTGTCTGACAGAACCCGTCCTGTGTTTTATTCCCCGCTCTCTGTCTGACAGAACCCGTCCTGTGTTTTATTCCCCGCTCTCTGTCTGACAGAACGTGGGGAAGGCTCTGCGGTTCAGCTGGCGCTGTCTGACGGCTGGTTTACAGAACATGGCCTCCACTTATTCCACACCGCTCTCGGCTATGTCCACAGTGGTGACAGAAGTCCAGCGATCTGCCGGCAGCAAAGCATGATGGGACTCGGCCCTGTGCCTCCTCACCCAGGATGTGACCCACCAGGAGTGTGCTTTTAGTCATAGAAGAAGAAGTTGGTATTTATAACAATGTGATTTTTAATAAGGATAAAGGAATTTAGACGGCTATAAACTAAATATTAACACATTAATCCCTCATTTATATAAATGATATAAAGCTATTTTAAATGTATTTCTGATTAACATTCACTCTGATATGAGTTTGTATTATATTTCATAATCTCTATTATGACTTTTTATTATGTTTACCATCTTTTTCAAAAGCCTATTTTATATTATATGTTTTTAATACTGTGTACAATCCACTTTAAATTCTTCATCATTTTTATTAATGGCTTCATAAAACTGTGAAAACCTATTGCTGTATTTCTTTAAATAAATTCCCATTTAAACTGTGAACGTTTGTGTTTTATTCCTCCTCAGAAGATATTCACAGCAGATATACATTAACCAGTGGTGGAGTGTAACTAAGTACTTTTACTCAAGTACTGTACAGTGTAAACAATGATCAATAAATCCAGGTGAACTCTGCTATAATACAATAATCAGACTTCCATTTACAGCAGAGTGCTGTTATTATTGGATTGTTATTATTTTAATGTGAATGTTAAAAGTTATAGAAGTGTAATAAAAGTCATTATCTGTGAGATTACAGTAATTATTGCTGTTTACACTGATAACAACTGTATTTGGACAGTTTACCTTATACACTGATAAACAACATTTATTCTACTTCCATCATTATACAACATATCTGTCAGTTAACTAACTAATACATTAAAGTTACACAACATTTATTCTGCTGTTCGTCGTTAAAATAACTTCATATTTTTAGATTTTAAGTCATTTTCATAAAGTTTCTCATTATAATAACTTACAGGCTCCTTTGCTCTCCATACTCTTCCTCCTGTCTCCTCCTCCACACTCTTCCTCCGTCTCCTCCTCCACACTCTTCCTCCACACTCCTCCATACTCTTCCTCCATACTCTTCCTCCTGTCTCCTCCTCCATACTCTTCCTCCCGTCTCCTCCTTCATACTCCTCCTTCATACTCCTCCTCCATACTCTTCCTCCCGTCTCCTCCTCCATACTCTTCTTCCTGTCTCTTCCTCCCGCCTCTCCTCCTCCATACTCTTCCTCCATACTCCTCCTCCATACTCCTTCCTCCATACTCTTCCTCCATACTCTTCCTCCATACTCCTCCTCCATCTCCTCCACTCTCCTCTCTCTCCTCCTCCATACTCCTCCTCCATACTCCTCCTCCATACTCCCTCCTCCTCCTCCATACTCCTCCTCCATACTCCTCCTCCATACTCTCCTCCTCCATACTCTCCTCCTCCATACTCCTCCTCCATACTCTTCCTCCTGTCTCCTCCCCATCTCCTCCATACTCTTCCTCCCTGTCTCCTCCTCCATACTCCTCCTCCATACTCCTCCTCCATACTCCTTCCTCCTCCATACTCCTCCTCCATACTCCTCCTCCTGTCTCCTCCTCCTACTCTCCTCCTCCATACTCCTCCTCCATACTCTTCCTCCTGTCTCCTCCCATACTCCTCCTCCATACTCCTCCTCTCTCCCTCCTCCATACTCCTCCTCCTGTCTCCTCCTCCTACTCCTCCTCCTCCATACTCCTCCTCCCTCCATACTCTTCCTCCATACTCCTCCTCCTGTACTCCTCCTCCATACTCCTCCTCCATACTCCTCCTCCTGCTCCTCCATACTCCTCCTCCTGTCTCTTCCTCCATACTCCTCCTCCTCCATACTCCTCCCTCCATACTCCTCCTCCATACTCTTCCTCCATACTCCTCCCATACTCCTCCTCCATACTCCTCCTCCATACTCCTCCTCCTGTCTCCTCCTCCCCTCCATACTCTTCCTCCATACTCCTCCTCCTGTCTCCATCCCTCCTCTCTCCTCCATACTCCTCCTCCTGTCTCCTCCTCCTCCATACTCCTCCTCCATACTCCTCCTCCATACTCCTCCTCCCTCCTCCTCCATACTCCCCTCCTCCTCCTCCATACTCCTCCTCCTGTCCATACTCCTCCTCCATACTCTTCCTCCATACTCCTCCTCCATACTCCTCCTCCTCCATACTCTTCCTCCTGTCTCCTCCTCCATACTCTTCCTCCATACTCCTCCTCCTCTCCTCCTCCATACTCCTCCTCCATACTCTTCCTCCTGTCTCCTCCTCCATACTCTTCCTCCTATCTCTTCCTCCTGTCTCCTCCTCCACACTCTTCCTCCATACTCTTCCTCCATACTCTTCCTCCTGTCTCCTCCTCCATACTCCTCCTCCATACTCTTCCTCCTACACTCTTCCTCCACACTCCTCCTCCATACTCCTCCTCCATACTCCTCCTCCATACTCTTCCTCCATACTCCATACTCCTCCTCCATCCTCCTCCATACTCCTCCTCCTGTCTCCTCCTCCATACTCCTCCTCCATACTCCTCCTCCTGTCTCCTCCTCCATACTCTTCCTCCTGTCTCCTCCTCCATACTCCTCCTCCTGTCTCCTCCTCCTCCATACTCTTCCTCCATACTCCTCCTCCATACTCCTCCTCCTCCATACTCTTCCTCCTGTCTCCTCCTCCATACTCCTCCTCCATACTCTTCCTCCATACTCCTCCTCCTGTCTCCTCCTCCATACTCCTCCTCCATACTCTTCCTCCATACTCCTCCTCCATACTCTTCCTCCTGTCTCCTCCTCCATACTCCTCCTCCTGTCTCCTCCTCCTCCTCCATACTCCTCCTCCATACTCTTCCTCCATACTCCTCCTCCATACTCCTCCTCCTGTCTCCTCCTCCATACTCTTCCTCCATACTCCTCCTCCTGTCTCCTCCTCCTCCTCCATACTCCTCCTCCATACTCCTCCTCCATACTCTTCCTCCATACTCCTCCTCCATACTCTTCCTCCATACTCCTCCTCCTGTCTCCTCCTCCTCCTCCATACTCCTCCTCCCCCGGTGGCAGTGGTGAAGGTGTAGTTCCCGACCCGGCCTGAGAGTGTCGCTGTACCACTGAAGAAGCTCCGCTGCTTCCGGGTCCTTATAAGGACAATAAGGCGGGACCTAAAGTTGTGGACGAAAGTTCACTTTAAAAACCTTCTGCTGCTGTCTGTCTGTCTGTCTGCCTGTCTGTCTGTGTCTGTCTGTCTGTCTGTCCGGTCCACAGCTCCCTGTGACAGCAGCAGCTGCTCAACCAGAGACAGACAGACCTGAACGGAGACTTCTGACAAACAACAACAACATGGCGAGCTCCTAAACTTTTACTTTTTTCTTCCCCAGAGGAGACCAACATTTATTTTTCGCCCGCCAGACGTTGACGGAAGCTCGTACCGACCCGGGAGCGGGAAATGTCTCCGCTGCAGCGCTCCGTTTACTGGCGCCTCTCCCTCGTCTTCTTTTTCACCTCTTTCCTTTTCTTTGTCGACATTTTCACGGCCGCCATCGTCGCGGCCACCTGTCACCATGACAACGCCACTTTCCCCGGAACGTTGGAGAGCAACCAATCACGGCGCGAGGAGGACGTCGCTGATTGGTCGACGGAGAGCGGGAACCGAGACGTGAGTGGTGATTCTTTACATCATTTTTATGGTTTATTTACTTTAAATGTAATTATTTTAGTGTTAATGTGCATTTAAACCGTCATATATTTGCTGATAAAATCACATTACAAAACTTTTAACTGTACTTTACCTTTTTGAAACGTTTTTAAACGATATAACCGTAATATTTGAACCGTTAACAGAGTATATTAAAGACTTTAATGGTTTTTTATGGTTTATATACTTTAGATTTAGTTTTTTTAGCCCTTATATACGTTTAAACCGTCATATATTTGGTGATATAAACACATTTCACAACAGTTAACAGATTAACATACAGAGTTAATGTGCAACATAACGCTGTTAATGCTAACCTTGTTTAACCCAACCTGTATTGTTTTTAGGGACAGAGTGAATGTAACACCTGTTTCTGAATATCAAACCATTAAGTTTGGTGTTTTTATGCAAAACAATATTGTATGTAATTATATTTTATTATAGTAAAATGTTACATCCTCACGTTATTTGAAGAAGTTTAATAAAGTTTAAAAATAGACGATCTAATGGATGACATTAGATATCAATAAATTGTTTTATTTCCATATCTTTTTTCCAAATACAGCTTATTACTGAGTCTAAAAGAAGGCCTTAGGATCAGTAAATTGTGTCGAATTCTGTTTTTTAAAACATTATTTTTTTAATTAATCTAAATGAACGTGTCACATTACTACATCTCATTTTACATTTCTATAAGATACAACATGTAAATGTAAATGAGCATTTATGGGGTTTTTCCACCTACTTTAATTGCATGTGTTACAAACTTGTAGCACAGTTTGTCCCTTAGTCAAAGTTATAATTGTGCTCACAAAGCTGTTTAATCAGATTAAGTAGTATTGGGGTCATGGGGGCCCAAGTCCACATTGTTTGGGGCAACAGCCTGTCTGTAGTCATTTATCTGTGTGTGTTTGTCTTTGCGTCAGTCAGTGTGTGGTTGGGCAGACCGGTTGTCCTACGGTCAGACTCTCTTCATGGTCGGGATGCTGCTGGGATCTCTGGTCGGAGGGGCGCTATCTGACAGGTAATTACCCACAATGCTCTATGACTCTGGCTCCTGTGATGTGCGTCTACACTCCTGCGTATGTTTTGTCTGTTCGTGCAGGTACGGGAAGCGCCCGGTGCTGCTGGTGTGCGTGTGCGTGCACGCCGTGTGCGGCCTCGTGCCCGCCATCCTCCCTCATCCAATCCTCTTCCTCGCCGTCCGCTGCCTGACGGGCGTCTGCTGCTGCTGCATCAACATCTGCTCCTTCAGTCTGGGTAACAACACACAGCCTTTCCTCTCCTTCCTCCCTTTCCTCTTCTTCCTCCCTTTCCTCTCCTTCCTCCCTTTCCTCTCCTTCCTCCCTTTCCTCTTCTTCCTCCCTTTCCTTCCTCTCCTTCCTCCCTTTCCTTCCTCTCCTTCCTCCCTTTCCTCTTCTTCCTCCCTTTCCTCTCCTTCCTCCCTTTCTTTCCTCTCCTTCCTCCCTTTCCTCTTCTTCCTCCCTTTCCTCTCCTTCCTCCCTTTCCTTCCTCTCCTTCCCTCCTTCCTCCCTTTCCTGTAAACACTGCTCCTGGGGCATCAAAAACACTGTCCAATTCATCCAATACAGTTTTCAGCTCTCCTTTAACATAAACCCTTGTGTCCTCTCCCAAGATCCTTCCCTTGTCAAACACTGATCTATCCATCCCTTTGAACTCTTCTATAATCCAATATCAACTTTCCTTTCCTTCAGAGTGCTCTCCTTATCCATCCCTATTCCTTCCATGTGAATGTTAAAATTATAGAAGTGTAAAAAAGTCATTATCTGTGAGATTACAGTAATTATTGCTGTTTACACTGATAACAACTGTATTTGGACAGTTTACCAATGCTTATACACTGATAAACAACATTTATTCTACTTCCATCATTATACAACATATCTATTCTATTCAATTTAATTCAATTCAATTCAATTTTATTTGTATAGCGCCAATTTATAACAGAAGTTATCTCAGGACACTTTTCAAATAGAGCAGGTCTAGACCGAACTCCTTCTAATATCTGTCTCTATAAAGGTTTTTTTTACAGTGTGGCCCCAGTGAGCTGTGGTTGACTGGTTTGAGTTTTATTGGACCGCGGTGGGACACATGGCTGATAAAGAGCACGTGTCCCAGATAAAGTCTTGATGACCTGAGTGCTAATGAAGGAAGACAGCTTCCAGCAGCGTTCTGACCTTCGACCGCTGCTGAGCTCTGCTTGGAGGAGACGTTTGTGAAAAGACTGAAACGCCCTTTTGGAGGCAGCGGGTTCAATAAAGTCTACAATCTTACAACCAGGACAGGATCCTTTAAATATAAAGTGTGTCCTGAGGGTGGTGTAGAGGAAAGGTCAGGGTTCATCCTCTGAGGAGCAGGAATTTGATTTATAGAAGTCTTCACATTGTCTCAATTATACGGATTGATTCGTTTTGGAGCAGGTCTCAGGTCTGTGTGTTTGAGTTAGATAAGATAGACCTTTAACTCTCCACTGTTCTAACAATCACCAGCTCTGGTATTCGTCACAATAAACCCTTAATTCACTGAGATAGATGTGAAAAGATATATTAATGTTCATAATCTCATATATGAAACCTTGAATCTCTGATTACGTGGCGCGTTGTGAAAGCAGTCTGCTGCTCTTTTCATTAACTGCTGGAGCCTTCCTCT